GAATTCTTTAATTAATCGGATAGGATAGGATAGGATAAACTTTATTTGTCCCCGAAAGGAAATTTGTCTTGGGCAAAAAGGTGCTACAACATTGCTCTAAACAGACAGTAAAATAAATAAAATAAACAAAACAATTAAGAACACATTGTTTACAAGATAAGACCGTACATAGTCAGCTGCTAATGTACTATTAATGCAGTGTTAATGGTGTTGGAGTTCAACAGTTTTATCGAGGTAGGAACAAATGAAAGCTTCAGTCTATTGGTTTTACACATTGGCATTCTTAGTCTTTTTCCTGATGGTAACAGCTGATATTCACTGAAAAGAGGATGTTTGGAATCAGCACTAATAATTATGGCTCTTCTCATGACCGCCTGTTTATATAGAGTCTTTATGGGCTTGTATTTTTTTATTCCTATAATTTTCATGGCTGTTTTTTGATTATGAACCAATTTACAGTAATTAAATGTTTGTCAAATGAATTTTGGCACAAATGTCTGTCATTTATAAACACATATCAATCTATTATTGTATTAGTATTACCGTTCTCAGCACAGCTTTTCTTCTCCAGGTGGTCCGAAGCAAAATCATGTGCATCTGCATAGGCTCTGGCCAAACGCCAAAGATACTGGCAGCGCTGATCAAACTGATAAGAAAGAAAAAAAAAAGTTGAAACAAATTTTAGTTAAAATAGAAGCCATCTTTCAAATGTTTGTGATTAATACGATTTTGCTCATCATCTCATCGAAAAAAGAGGAAAAAAGTTATTGTGAAAAATTATTTACATTTATTTACACCACAACTATTTTATATTTTAATATATATTGTAAAATGCTATTTATTTTTGTGACGACAAAGCAGAATTTTTATAATCATTACTCCCATTTTCAGACATGTGATCTCATAGAAATAATTTTTAAATGCATTTTAAAACACTTTTTTGAAATGTATCGTTAACAGTAGAAAAAAACATTATGCTGCTACTTAAAGGGAAAAATCAGACTTTCTTCTTTTTAACAGAAAACTGGATATTCTGAAGATTTCTTTAAACCAGCAGCCACTGACATACATAGTAGGACAAAAAAAATACAATGATGACAGAATTTTTAATTTTGGATGAACCATCCCCAAATGTCACACATCTTTTTGAAATTCAAATACTCTGAAGAATTGTTCGGCTGCATTAATTTGGGAAACCGAAGTCAGGAACACTCCTCAAAAGACATTACATTTAGGCTCAATCCCAATTCAACCCCTTAGCCCTTCCCGTTACCCCTCGTTTTGCGCGTTCCTGTCAAGGGGTAGGGGTACCCCAATTCTCTTTAGCTTGAAGGCATAGGGCTAAGATGAAGGGGTAAATACCCCTTCGAACGCAAATTTTTCCAGACCACACTCGAAACCATGGGGGAAAAAAATTTCCCAGAATACACCTGCCACAACGGCAGATCGCTACACCGGGAAGTAAGAAATCCACAAATTAGTTTTTTTTTTTTATCATTATTACAAATTATTACAACAAACAAGCATATGTTTTATTATATTCATAACCACGTTCGTGTTTTACCATCATGCTTTAAAAACAAAACGCTAAAATAAAAAACTGCTAAATTTCACAATCTATAATCATAAATCCTGTACAGCAGTCCCACAACATTCTGACACTCGATGACACTCGAATACCCTGTCAGTAATGTCTAGAGGCTGGGACTAAGCTTTTTAAATTGTCTGCTATAATGTTAATGTTGTTTTTGGTGTGTTTAAATGCACAGTATATTTTTATCGTATTACTACATTAGATCGTTATGATAACATAATATATGCCTTCAGTGATTTCCTGAAGATAAAAACAAAAAAATAACACAGCTGGACTAACTACAGCAGTCGCGATTGTCTGATCTCATATGAAGCAAGAGATTGCGATGAAGTATGATGACGTGTGCAGGTACTGTCCCAATTCTTAGGGGTAAATTTTAAAGCTCTTCCCCTTCACATTCTGTTTTAAGGGCCAAGGGGAAGAGGTACAAAAATAGAATTGGGATTGGGCCTTAGAATAGCATCTACGCTTATGTTAGTCTATTTCTGCTTATCCTGTAGTCTCTATAATCCTGGACGAGGCCGTATGCTGAGCAAATGATGTGGCTGTTATGAAGGAGTGGAGAGGGGGACGACTGATTCCTGAAAGACCTTAGTGACAGACGAGTCTCCGCATTGATCCTTTGGGCCAGCCTTAACACCAGCGATGGACGTACTCCAGCCTCCATCACCTTGACTGCAGCACTGCACCAGAAGTTTGGCGAGTGGAGAAATGGTCGTCCCCAGGCCTTGTTTCTCTCGCATTTTTTTCCCTTCACTTTCATCAATTGGTGAAGTTTGTTCCTCACCCTGGCTTGCTTTGTTTGGGATTTGTATTTGGACTTTCAGCAGTGAAATTTAAACCACACTAAATTGAACTAAACCAAACTTCAACAGTTTCAATTTACTAGAACTTCTATGCTAAGCTGCTTTGACACAACCTCATTGTAATAGTGCTATAGAAATAAAGAAGAATTGAATTGAATACATTTTTAATAACCCATGTGAAACAAAAACCAAGATATATTGCGACACTAATTGTTGAATGTCAAAGTTGAAGCATTAGTGTTGTATTAAACAGAAATTTATTTCATGGTTGTCTACAAACCTCTTCTTTCCTCTCAAGCAGAATGCTCAGGCCTTGTGCTTTCTCAGGCCCATTGCAGCTGTGCAGTCGGTCTGCTTTCTGCAGCAGAGCCATGAGTTCATCGACTGGTTCCTGCTGTGGCTTTCGCTCATCATCACTTTCATCTTCCTCTGAATCAGTCAGTGCAGTTATATACCTGCAGAACAAAGAATAGGGTACAGTATGATTAAATAAAGAGAGATTAAAACTTGATAAACTGTAAAACTTTTAGTACACTGTAAAAAAAATGCTGTGTTCCACAGAATAGATGTGTTAGGACAATTTTTTTAAGTGAATTCAACAAAAAAAAAATAACCAAAATAACTCAAGAATTGAGTTGTTTCAGCTCAACCAATTTTTGCTTTCCACCTGGATTTTGTCTACCCAAATTTAAAAGCTTCCCAAATCCACATGCAGAGGTGTAAATGCAAAAATTTGGTATCATTTTAAAGAAAACCCTTTGAATTTTCATAAAACAACATTGAAGGCATTTAAAATATCTGTATATGTTGTCTGTTTTATAATGAACCCCTAAAAAAGAGGTGCCTTCTGTTTTTTTTTTTTTTTTTTTTTTTTTGGAAAGTGTACCTTTTAGGTTCTGTGTGGTCTAGGGTGCTGTAATTAATTTTGGGGGTTCCTGCACATGTCTGTAATCATAGAAAAAATAAATATGTCTCAATTAAAATCTATGCAAAAGTTATTGTATTCCAACTGATGAGAGGTGCTGTACTAGCCACAGAGACCAACCATTGTTTTCATATTTCACTATTCTTTTGTTTGATCAAACATAATTCACTATGTTTGGACCACATCAGACATATAAAAGGATTACTTATGCACATCACCTCAAAAACAGAGGAGAATGCCCCTGAAGCACACACCATAAGGTAAGAAATGACAGCTGTCTGTGTCTGTACCGAGTCCGCAGAGTTTAACTGGTTAATATAAATATGTAAGTTTAGGTTCTACATAAACATCTAAAGGTGAGACACTTCAGGCAAAACCCTCAATTTTGAGCTTACTATATTTTCATAAAGTGTTTTAAAGGGACACTTTTCTTCTTCGTATCCACCAGAGACTTTCTTATCAACACCCCATGCTTCTTGAAGAACATAAGGGCTTAAACAACATGTAGGAGAAACACTCTCTCCTCTCCATAAGCAAATAATAATAATAATAATAATAATAAATAAACTGAAGAATCGAACCAACTTAGACATTTACATATTGCTGTATTTATACGTTTAATTAGTGCTTCTTTTATCCTCACTATTAAGTCACTTTGGATGAAAGCATTTGCTAAAAGAATAACTGTTCATGGTTTCTGCCACATTTATTCTTCCATGGCGGGGCAACACACCAAAATTCAAGGTAAGTTGATTAAAATAGAGCAAACTTTTCTGTAATCGTAGTAGTGCTGTGCATTATTTGTTTAACCCTTTAAGGTTACATGCTGACTGACGGACTGGGCTGCCAATGCATGAGGCGAGCAAACACAACGTAGCTTTCTGTTATGATGAACAGTTTCCATAATTATATATTATTTATAGATTAAGGTCTGTGGTTTTGCACACAATGACTATCTTGCTGGAGTTTATAGCTGTTTCACTTCAGGACGCATCAATGCCACTCTGTAGGTCTATTGGAGACATTCATAAATATTTCTAGCAGATCTGATAAATGTTGGAGACATACTTGTTACTTAAATGCACTAAATCGCACTTCAGCAGGGTTTATTTGAGAGCGCATAAGAAAATCTGCACTTGAGCAGCGCATTTTTGAGGGTGTGCAAGAAGTTTTGTGCATGTTCAGAGAAAAGTGCACGCAAGCAAAGACATTCGCATGCTTTACGTATTACATGAATGCGATCTTAACTTGTAATTCTGCGTTCACAACATTTGTCATTGAAATAACGATATAGGTAATTGGAAGATCGGTGTAATTGTCCTGCCACCACAACTGGAAAATATCCTAGAAGAAATACTGATGTTTATATTTTTCCAGGCCAATGTAAAGACAACATCTAAAATAAATTTTCAACACATACATTACAACATATTTTTAAAGGCTGTTTTGTTAAAATAAGTTTTTCTTACATAGACCAAACTTAAAATTTCTATTTATATTTATATTCTAAAGGTTTTTTAAAGAGTGATAAGTTCATATTCAATATATCGGAAATTTTTATTCTACAAAAAATGCCTGTTCACAATATTTACTGGACTGTTAGGTGATAAAAATGATCCTTCAAAGTCCCTTTGTAAACTCTTAAAAAAAAAAAAAAAAAACAAACAAAAAAAAACTAATAATAAAAATAAGAAAGAAATTTAAACCTGACCGGTTCAGATTTTTATGCTAGAAATGCATGCAAATTAGGGAATATTTAATTAAATGCCTTATTACACCATTACTGTAGATTTCACTGTGTTTACACGTGCTGAGGAAATTTACTTTCCAACATGTTTCTTAAGCAGAAGACCTACCAGAAACTGTCAGAAAGGAGCTGATAAGTAGACTCACACGGAATCTGTGCGCGCAGAATAACGCCGATTTTTAGCCCATCATTGATTCTGTTTATTTACTAGTGTAAATGTGTGTAAATTTATATTTATTCAGTTTTTAAATTAATTTCAGTAATATTATTGACTAATATGAAAATATGCATATGGGTTATTTACAATACAGTTTGTAAAGTAGTATTTTCTGTCTTTTAGTAAATATATTATATAAGAGACTAGAGAAAAAAATTAGACCAAAGAGATCTAATTGGATTTGTATTGTTAACATTAAATAAAGGTTAAAAATGTATTACATTTTATTTCAAATATTAAGGTTTTAGTTATGATACTCCCAAAATCATTCCACATATATCCTCAGATTTTTAACAAAATTCTGCGTGGAAATAGCAAAAAAATGTCCCTAGATTCCGCCTGGCCCTGATTAACAATGTATATAAATGAATTACCTTTTTTTAACCTTGGGTGGATGTAAATTTATTACAGATAGAGCCCCACAAAACAAAATAAGGAACCTTTTAGGAGACAGTTCACCCCAAAATGAATTCTGTCATCATTTATACACCCTCAATTTCTTTATTCTTCTGAACTTAAAAAATATTTATACACTGAAGAATTATGAAATAAACAAGCCATTGACTTCCATAGTATTTTTGTCCCTACTATGGATGAAAATGGCTGTTTTTTCCAACATTCTTCAGAATGAATTGTTTTGTGTTCAACAGAATACATTTATAAAAGTAAAGGACCACTTGAAGATGGGTAAATGGTGAACTATCTATAACTATCTTTAACTTAAAACTCATCTATACTAGGCTGAGCAGCATGCTTAAAAAAACACTGCTTACTTCTTTTGGTTTCAACCTGTTTTGTTCCTTACAAGTTATAAAAATTAAAAGAAAGTCCTATTTGGAGGTCAAGAACAAATTTGGAAACAAACGCACAAAAACCCAAAGGTGTTTTCACGTCACTCTGAGTAACAGATATGCATTCACATAGTGTTTACACGCAAAACATCAACAGGGACTGTGCACAAGGGTAATTAATTGTTTATTGAGATTGCCGGTTTCAGTACTGACACCTTAAGGCTTTCATGCAAAAACACTGTGAGGTTTGTTTATGTATATATATATATATATATTTTTATAACAAGGCACGCAATACCTGCCTAATGTTTATAGCCTTAAAAAAAAGACCCTTTTCAATGACTGTAGGCGTACACTAATACTCTCTGCAACTGAGATGAGCGTGTAAAAAAACATAAATTACAGGTTAAGGTACAAATGAAAGGCTTCAGAAATAGTGAAACCATAAAAGGCTTCCATTAGGAATTGGCAGCTACGGCATTTGCGTCATTTGGGGCTTCGTGAGAACATTTGAGACTGCGAGCGGTAGTTCTGCAGGGATGTGTTGGAGCTGGAACCTCCGAGGGCACTTCAATGGTGCGCACATGAAGGTCGCTCATAACAATCAAAGGGAGAGCAAATGAGAGGAATCAGAGAAATGCTCAGAGATTGAAGAGTCTGTGATTGAGCTGTGTGGTAATGTAGTTTAGTGTTAACTGATGGTGTGTCTTTGATTAAAGGAACTACAGTTACACATTGACTGCCAGAGTCATTTGGCCCTTTTCTTAAGTCTGTCTGAAGTAATAACTTTCTCAGACTCTCATTATTACCAAATGTATACTAACAGCTCTTTTTTTTTGTTGAGTTTCTCATCTTTTCTTCTGCGATATCATCCAGGCATCATTCTGAGTCGCTTTTCAACATTCAAGTTGAATGTACTCAAAGCACTACAAGCACCAATATACTAATATTAGAGGTGTCACTTCTTCAGTCTTGATGAGCATGAGGGTGAAACTTGCATTGACGATTGGAAGCAGGACTGAATTTGAACCAAAAATCAAGTGCTTTGCACACACCTGGTAAAGCTGGCCTCTGTGTTGCGCATGTCACTTGGCTGGACGGGCGGCCGAATGTGATAACCGATTTTTTTCTCAGCTGAGTTTAAAGGATGCTGTGTTATTCATATCCAAGCAGAGGCTGCAACTACAACTGCAGCCACACATTAAACATTGACATTACCATGCGATGGAATGTCACTTTAGATGTGCAGAAAGCTGCATTATTGAAGTGCAGTACAGATATATAAGCACCGCAATCAAACTATAACCATCTTGTAGGACTTTTAGCCGCATTTTGCAACAGGACAGTCCACACAGCTGTTTAACACTATATACTCTGCACCTACACACATATCCAAGCGCGCGCACACAAACTGAACTGCTTGAGAGTCAACACACCAACCTTCATCAACACCAAACACGTTCAAGTATTTAGGTATGTTTAACAAAAGAGAGAGCACAACATCTGTCTCACAAAAGGGCTGGTCGATTATGGGAAATCATAATCATGATTATTTTGGTCATATTTGTAATTACGATTGTTCAAAACGATTATCAGTTGAGATCAAAATTATTCGCCTTTTTGTGAATTTTTATATATATTTAAATTATTTTTTTTTCTAGAGGAAGGCTTATTTGTTTTATTTCGGCTAGAATAAAAGCAGGATTAAATATTTTGAAACCTATTTTAGTAGCTCAATATTGTTAGCCCATTTAAGCAATATATATTTTTGATTG